AGTGGAGATTATCCATTAACTATGGCTGGTCCCCAGTGGAAGAAGTTCAAATCGAGTTTTTGTGAGTTCATTGGAGTACTCGTCCGACAATGTCAATATAGCATCATATATGATGAATATATGATGGATACTGTCATTTCACTGCTTACGGGGCTGTCAGACTCGCAAGTCAGAGCATTTCGGCACACAAGCACACTGGCAGGTCAGTGGATTATACTTATCTGTGTATTGCTCCCATTTTATGTTTTGTGTTACACAGGAATTGTTCTGGTTTAACTTCTTGATGTTCAACATTCAACTCATGTTTCCTTGTGTGATACAGTTTTCATCTAATGCAGCTTGTTTCTGTATAGCTTTCTTACCTTGTCTTTATTGGTTTTTCGTTACTGAAAAACACAGTGTTATTTTAAAGCATTCTTTACTTGCTCTTTAGTACTTAATTTTTGTTTGCTTTAAGTCTAGTAGAAAAAGTAAATAAAAGGACACTTTTCCGTTGATTCTACAAGTTTGTCTTTGGTCATAATAAGGGTGTAGGTATCCTTTTAACCTCAAATGCAGCTGAACTGGGTTATGCTCTGCATTAAGTCACACAGGAGTTGTATTTTAGATTGGATGCAATTTTTATAACATTTAAATTGTGGTGTATATTGAGGCCATAGCCCAATCCAATTGAAAGTAGTATTTCCATTCATTGCATTAGAAAAAATGTTAAAGAATGCTTCATCAGTGATAGTCACTAAATTTCTATATGGTTTTAAGTAATTGTCCTTTTTCCATGATTTTTTTTCAAATGTCAAAAGTATGAAAAAATTCTTTCTGAGTTAAGTATGGAGTGTTTTAAATAAATACATCATTATGTGGACATAGGATAAGCTCCTTGAATAAGGAAGTTCCAAACCTTCATTGGTTAATGAAGGGTCTTGGATGGCATTCTTCAGCAGTCTACTTACATAAAGCTTATTACAGCAATTTTAGTCTGACAAGGTGAATTTAGAGTGTGTGTGAAACTGAGTTTTTGCCACACTGGAAATAGTTCTTGTGAGCTTCACTGGAACTGTCTGAGGTACAGGTAGCTTCAGTTCTGACTATCTGATCAGTAGTTCTGTTTCATTGATCATCTCTTGGATATACTTTAGCACACTGCGCATCGGGCTGCTGCTGTGAGACTCCTCACTACCCAAGGCATTTATTAGGGAGGGAGAAACAAACCCTTTTATTTCAGGAGGATATACTGATTCTGCTGTATTGTCAATTTGACTGTTGTACCATATGACTAATATAAATTTTAATTCTTAAAAAACATGTTTTTAGTACTTTCTTTTAATTTAAGTTGTGCCTGAATAAAAGTTGCAGAAGTTGTCCTGTTGCATGTTAATTTCTGTCATGCAAAATAATTCTTATCAGTACTCTGTTTGCATTTGTTCACATCAGTAGTTGATTTTGTGGATTTTGTGTAATTACTTGTGCATTTCATACGAGATTACAGTTTGTATTCTTGAAGATTGTGTTTGTATGGGACAGGGACAGCCAACAAAATCCTTGTATCCATATTTACTATTATTTGCAGTAATTTTGGCTTCCATGATTAGCTCAGACTTGTTCTTTTCATTTTGATATCCTTGGAGATCTTAGTGTGTGAAGATACTTTGATATATCTGCATGTGTTTATGCCTTACTCATCAACTTTATGCTAGTGATACATGCTTAATAATGTTCTGAGTATGTTCTGCCAGTGCAAGCCCTTTCATGCCTTGTTACAAAAGTTCATAGGAAAAGCAAGCATACTGTTGACCACCTCGTGGTTTCTGGAATAGGCATTATTTGTCTGCACTCTTTTTAAAACATTTAATTCAGAAATAAAAGCACGTAAAAAAAATCCCACCCAAGTGTATTTTACATTTTGGTCAGTTCTCTGGCTTCTAATTGGTGAATGTCTTTTCTCTGCTTCTGCAATTAAAGGAATATTTAAAGAAAACTGCCCCTCATTAAAATTAAATTGAGGGTAGAAGAGTGGTGCAGTATGGTGGTGCTGGTTGTCTAAGACTTTTCCTTTTGAAGAAAAAAACAACTTACTGTATGTTTGAGGTTGAATGATTTGACAATATCAGTCTAGCTAACCAATTCTGATAATGGAATGCTTTTAGTATTTCCTGGGCTATGTATGTAAATTTTGCAATCTACCTTCATTTTCTGTGAGAAGCATATCCTATATCTCAATTCAACAGTAATCCTTATAGTATTAAAAAAATTGACATAAAAGAATAAAATGTCAGTGTTTGATCTGTTGTGTTGATAAGTAATGATGCAGTGCTTAGCAAAACACTGCTAAAGGTTGCATATAAAGAAATTTACAGTTAATGTGTTTTCCTAAATACAGAAAGGGTTGACAGGAAGAGGTGTCAAGATTTCTATTTAACACTTTTCTTAGATCGAGTAACCTTTTAAATAATCCTTATTCTTTTCCCTTTTTTGTAGCCATGAAGCTGATGACTGCTTTAGTGAATGTGGCATTAAATCTTAGTATCAACATGGACAATACACAACGGCAGTATGAAGCAGAACGAAATAAAATAATTGGGAAACGAGCTAATGATAGGCTGGAACTCTTACTACAGAAAAGAAAGGAGGTTAGTGCAACTTTGTGTAGCTGGTGTGCATAGGATGAGTGTTGAGAAATGAAAAAAATAATTAATCTTGTTCTGTAATTTGTTTTTTTTCTAAAGGTAGTTAATAGTCCCTATGTTTCATTCTTTAAGTTGTGTTTAATGTTTGAAAAACTTAATTTCAAAGGTTAATTTTTTAAATGCCTCGTTTTCTGTAAAAAAAGATAAATGTAGACTCTTGAAAAGTTTTTCATTAAATTAGCAAGAGAGACTGCCATCAGTAATAGATAATTTTTTGTTGTATCTCTAGAATAGTTTCCTAAACTGACCTCAAGTATATAATAAAAATTACCATACATTGCCTGTTTTTAGCTTCTAGAGAAGAACCCGGTGATTTTGGGGCAAAACACTGTTTTTATGATGTCAGTACTGATCATCAAAGTGTGTTAAAAGGCTTTAGATAAGGTTTTTTTCTTCTACAGAAAACACTATCAAAATTGAAAATGCAATCTACTTCTATTTTCTTTCTTTTTGTGTAGAAGGGACCTGCTGATTCATTGCTGACAGTGCTGTCTTGTTGAAAGCCCTAATTCGTTCAGGCTTAACTTTTTATTTTTGGGGGAACTGGTGTTTTGGTTTGGTTTTTGTTCTATACATTAGAAATAACCTTATGATCAAAGAAAATGTCTCGCCTTTGCTCTTCATCTTTTGTGCTGTTACCTGTTAGTGTTTTTACTTTCTTAACAATTCAGATAGACTTAAGAACTTTGTTTTCTGTTTGTCTCACAAAGATCTGGCAGTTTGAGTCTGAGCCCTTAAACAGCCATTAAATGTAGTTGTGTTACTAGAGGCGTCTGCAGGACCAGTCCTATGATATATAATGCATAGATAAAACAGAAAAGGCAGTGATGTGAGAATCAAGACTTTTCCCAGTCTCAGTTGCTCTTATGTATATTGGATTTTAGGATTTCATACCAACTTTTCTAGTTTTGGTTTTGATTTTCTGTTTTTCTTGTGCTAAATGAAAGTAAGCTTTGAAGCAATACTCAATTATTTGTTTGATTTCAGGTTTTGTTTCATTTATAACTCAGTGTGGTGGTTTCACCCTTAGACACTCAGCCTTATCCAGAACTAAAATTAACTTCATTAATTGATTCTTTTTGCATGCCTTTTGTTTTAATATTTTGCAATTTTCCCCTCTTCCTACTTCAGAGGCTACTGTGAGCAGGTGTTAGATTTAGGCCCAGAACATGTTAAATATTTTTCTTTGTTAGTCCTTTTCTCCTGCTGCTTAGTCTTTTTCTTCTCACTGTATTTCCTTACAGCTTTTCTTCCATAAATTCCTAAATCTTGTGATACTATGGAAATTGTTCATTCTTGCTGTTTTCTAAACTTCTGTAGGAGAGATACTGGTTTGGGGGTGGGTGGGTGTGGTTGCTTTTTAGGGGGTTTATTTTTTCAGTCTGATCCACCAAAATGTCAACTTCCTCAGTCTTTGACTATTCTTATTAACATTGTTTCAATTTGTCCTACTCTTATAGTTCAAACTGAAAAAAGAATATGCTTCCCTGCTGACAATATTTAGTTATTCTAAAATCTTTTAAGTGACTTCCTCAAACTTTGAAAGCAAACACAGGTTTCTGTGTTTTTAAAACACTGCCTGTATCACTTTTCAACTTACTTTCATGTCTTACTCTTCTGTTGTTACTCTGAGACTGGATTTGTCTCCTCCATTATTTTGCAGCTCTATATTCTTAAATTAATTTTTTTTCTGCAATACCTCACTCATTTTCTGCGTTTTTTTTCTCTAATGGATGAGGAAGAGATATTCAAAACAGAGTATATACTGCTCACGTAGCCATTTGCAAGGTTCTTCTGCATCTTGTCTTTTTTACATTACAAATTCTTTAGCATACAGAAAAGACTCCTTGTAATGCAGTTCACGTGATTTGGATATTGTTCTAATAATACATGTCCATAAAAACACAGTAAGTGTATTAAAAATGGGGCTGAACATAGGACTTAAAAAGTTACTAGACAATTAAATCATGTTTTCTTATAAATAAGGTAAGAAGGAGCTTGCAGGAACATAAGATCTTCAGTTGAAGAACAGTTTTCCAGTGGTCAGAATTACTAAAACTTGTATGCTGTGGTAGATACAATTCCTTAAATAATAGCATATTATACTGTGAAACAGCTCTGTGAATATTTCCGGGAAGGATTTAATGGCCACACTTGCAAATGTTAATTTAGTTTGTTTAGCATCAACACCATCTGATCTGACTGTAAAAGTGCTGCTCACTGTTGATGTACTCTGTTCATTCTTTCAGCTTCAGGAAAATCAGGATGAAATAGAAAACATGATGAATGCAATATTTAAAGGTGTTTTTGTGCATAGATACCGGTAAGTTTCTCTTAGTAAGTAATTTGTAACTTCATTAATTTATTTTGGAAGCTGGTGACAAGTTATCTCTAATTATTCATCTGTTTGATCCTGTTGTCCCACTTATCTCCACAGAGATGCAATTGCTGAAATAAGAGCCATCTGTATTGAAGAGATTGGAATATGGATGAAGATGTACAGTGATGCCTTTCTCAATGACAGCTACTTAAAATATGTTGGGTGGACTATGCATGATAAGGTAAGCTGCTTTGAGGGAAGGGAACAAAATTGTGAAGCATAACTCCATGTTTTTGGTTGTTGATCTTGCTAGCCTTAGGTTCTGATCTCTTAACCGTTTTAATCGGTCACGGCTTTTCTTACCACTCAGAAGCACTAGAGTTTCAACATATATATAAAATAGACTTGCATCTTTTGAATTCTTTTTAGAGAGTATATATAGATTTTTAAGGATCTGGTATTTGTAAGGAAATGGCTTTTTCTATTTATTTATTGCTGATACAGACCTCCACTTCATAATACTTAACTATTTCAGATTAATACATTTCACATGGAATAATCCAGTCATAGAGCCTAACAGTTTTCCTGTTTTGCCTACTTAAGCAACTTCTTAGCTAGCTGTAAAAACCATGGGAAAAGTCCCCTTTTGTGCTGATGAGTTCCTCAAGCTGTTACTTACCAGCTACCTGCTAGAGGTTATTCTCTGCTTGGAGTGATCAACAGATACGGTTTACAAATGCTGCTTGATTCATTGTTGAGTCAGCACATTCTCAGTTCTTGCATTGGAGACTTCAGGCTATTGAAGTTGAAGTGAACTGTAGTAAGACATTGGAGTGTTTTGGTTTTGGGTTTTTTCCTTCATTGGCTTGTTATGAACAAGAACATATTCTTACATCATTAACGTGATTATTGATAGTATGTCTTGACAACATTTAATCTTTAACTTTGAATTAATTCAGACTGGAAAAGAAACTTGTCTTATATGATTTGGAGATCACATCTGTATCCTGTATTTGACTTTTAATCTAGTTCTTAATTTCATTTTAGCAAGGGGAAGTAAGACTGAAATGCCTAACTGCTTTGCAAGGGCTTTACTATAATAAAGAGCTTAATTCCAAATTGGAACTCTTCACCAGTCGATTCAAGGTTAGTGTAACTTCGTATTTTTAAGTATGTATGAATTTTTTAAAGTTGTATTACACTTTCTTTCCTCTTTGAAAATACTTTCTTTTGTGTTCTTAGGATAGAATTGTGTCTATGACTCTTGACAAAGAATATGATGTTGCAGTCCAAGCAATAAAATTACTCACTCTTGTTTTACAGTAAGTACCATGTGTAATCTCCTTATCTGACCTACAATAAATAAAAACTGAGGTATTTCTGATACCTGTCAACAGCAGCTTGACAGAATTCAGATTCCAAAATCTAGAGTAATGTCTATGCATCTTACACGTGAACAAATTGGAATTTCAAAAGTAATCTGGCTAGAACAGTGCTATTACTTACCTACTACAGTTAAGTAAGTATAAAGGCTAGAAATTTAGAATTCAGTCTCCATAATTTGTAGCTGTCGTGGAATATTTGAACTGAAGAAACATGAGAAGTATTGAACGTTATACAGTAGTTGAACTTTTGAGCATAACCTTACCCTCTTGAACACTCATACTTCATCAGTAATTTTTGTTTAGGAATACTTTGGAACTAAACTGTCTTGTTTTGGGTTTTAGGATGATAAATTGAAGGAAAGGTTTAGATTCTCCTTCAATTCCATCTCCCTCAT